TCATAACAATACTCTAATGTTTGCTAACCAATTATACATGTATTCTATTAATTAATAGGGAGAGCACATTCTGATATTGTGATAAACAACATATGCGAGTGCTTTAATAGCAAAATAATAGACGGACGTGACACACCAATTATCAATTGCTTAGAGTTCATCCGGGAGTACATCATGAAGAGGATTGTGAATGTTGAAAAAGAAATTGACAAAGCAACAGGCCCTTTGACTCCAACAGCTACCAAGCTATTGCAAAAGATCAAAGATCAGGCAGAGGAGTATACAACATCATTTTGTGGAAATGGGAAGTACCAAGTGAGTGGACCTTGGCAAGATCAGTGTGTAGTGAATGTGAATCAACGAACCTGTTCATGCAAGAAGTGGGAAATAACTGGAATGCCATGCAAACATGCTGTATCTGCAATCTGGGACATGAGGAGAAATAATGGTGCAATTGGTATTCCAGAAACCTTTGTTCATGAATGTTATTGGCTATCAACCTGGAGGAACATGTACTCTTTCAAAGTGGATCCGATAAATGGTAGAAGAATGTGGATTAAGTCACCTTGTCCAACTACTTTGTTGCCTCCAAAACACCGTGTCCCAATAGGAAGACCAAAAAAGAAACGAAGGAAGTCAGCTACAGAAAAAGAGGATATGATCAAAGGGAATACAGTTTCTAGAGCACAAAAAACTGTTACATGTACCAAATGTAACAACAAAGGACACAATGCCAGGACTTGCAAAGGGCAGTTACCAACTGTTGGGAAGAAGGGAAAAAAGAAGAATGAGAAAGGAAAAGAGAAGGATAAAGGAAAAGAGAATGAGAAAGGAAAACAGAAGAAGAAAGGAAAAGAGAAGGATCCATTGTAAACTCTTTTATCATGTGATGCTCTTATTTTGGTTAAGCTATTATGTAATGTGATGTTTGTATTGTGGTTAAACTATTATGTCATGTGATGTTTGTATTTTGATTAAACTGTATTGTGTTTAGTATCACCAAAACAATTGTGGTTGGTACTTAGACATTTGTTTTTGGTTAAACTCTTATGTAATGCTTTTGTTTTAATGTTATCTAATGGATCAATTATTGGTATGTTTTTTGGTCATTTCATTTGGCATGTTTTTGGACATTTCATTTGGCATGTGTTTGGTCATTTCATTTAATGTTATATAATGGATTATTTGGAATGTTTTTTGGTCATTTCATTTGGCATGTTTTTAGTCATATGTTAAATGAAAAATACCAAAAGATTACAGTTGCATTGCATCTATTAATTGTACCAATAGATACCCTTTCTCTCCCAATTCCAGCAATACAAGATGGTAATAATCCATTGTAATCTTTTATAAGAGAACAAAGTGCAACTATTAATTGTACCAAAATATACCATTTCATTAAAATGCAGCAATACAAACATGCTAATATTACCCATTCATTAGATTATCTTCAACCAAAAACCACTACTGAAATACCTAATACTACAACTTGTAAACAATTATCCCAAAAAACAAAATCCAACTGACAATTAACAACATTTTAAGGTTCCGATTTTGGATTTCAAGTTCTTCATTCTGGATTTCAAGGTCACGATTTTGGATTTGAAGTTCTTCATTATGGATTTCAAGCTCAAGATTTTGGCTTTCAACCTCATACGTATGATTTTCTTCATCTACCCACGAAATAAATCCACTTCTTGGTCCCTGAAGTTTTCAATACCCTCGATTAGCACAAACTAGGGTTCATCCTAGAAATTACCAAAAAAAATTGATAACTCAATACCTGTAAAGGGCATGCATAAAAAGGCCTACCAGGATTTCTCTTTGTTCCTGAAGTTCGTATGATCCCTACAGCTCCACACTTGCATTTCACCATAATCAATTTTGTGGATCTTCAATCTTCACGAGCAAAAGAAATGGAGTAGAAGAGGAGAACTGGAAGCACCGATTGAGAAAAGAAGGAAGGAGAAGTAGTTTTAAGTCCGTTGTAGGGTTGAAAGGACAAAAATGCCCCCAGCGTGCCACTCACGTGAGTAGTTCCTAACCCCAAATAAGACGGAAAGTTAACTAAAGGACTAGGCGGGTAACGAAATAAAGTTATAGGTATTGTCCGAGTTAAAAGTTCTTTCCAGGAACGAAGCGTGCAAGTAAGAGCAAACCATAGGGACCAACCGTGTAATTTTCTCTAAATATATAGAGAGTGTGAGAGATAAAGGAAATGTGTGGCCCACAGGTCTTCTTTATCTGACAGAAGTCTGGAGAAAAGAAAGAAAACTGTAGTAAGAGAGTCCTTTTCTTTGCGTTTCATTTTCAACACTGACACCCACCTCCAGCTCCACCTCCTTCACACACACCAATATACCATTTTTACACTCCACAGATTTCCCCACAAATATGTCTTCTATCGATAATTTTGCTGACGTTGAAGTACCAGCTGTTGGAATGGGAGCGCTTCCTGCCCGACGCCGCCGCCGTCGTGGCCGTTCCAGCCGTCGGCGCCGACCTTCTCATGCTTTTAGCAGCGAAGCTGCCACCACTGACGGCGGTAGCAGCTTTGGATTATCCGACTCCGATGCGCAGTCCTCCGCTCGTCTCGATTCATCCGTCGCCGGTGACGAATGTGGGTCTTCTGGAATCTTCTCCTACAATCACAGCCGCATGGAGTCATCCTCAGATGAGATTGATTTGGAGAGTGGGGAATTGGAGATGAAGGTGCATTCTTCTATTAAAAACGAGAAACAATGTCGAATTTGCCATCTGAATTTTGAGGCTAGTGACGTTGATCAGGCGGAGGATGAGGATGATGGTGGTGGTGGTTGTGGTGGTGGTGGTCCAATTGAGTTGGGGTGTAATTGCAAGGGGGATCTGGGTGCTGCTCACAAACAATGTGCAGAAACTTGGTTCAAAATCAAGGGAAACATGTGAGTTTCACTTATTCTCCTTACATACTTCATAAATTCAAGCTTTATACGAAGTTCGTTGTCGATTAAGTATTTTTCTCATCTTTATCTTCATGCATTTCACTTCGAATTTCTTTGAAAATTTATGTTCCTATGAGATTTTTTGGTTGTCAAAATTTGGGCAAAAAGTGTGTCAATAAGAGTTTCTGTTTCCTGGTAAAATCTCAACAATAATCACACTTCAATTTTTGCATTTTGAATTTGAAATTCCCTCTCCTTGTTCCTGAACTTGATGGTAAAAAACGTTGACTTCTGTGGTCAAAATTAATGTTGATGCATTTCATTAGTTTCAAGATTAATAAATTTGTATTTGGTTTCTCTTTATGAACATGGGATGCTAAAATCGAATCTTTTTACCACAAAAGTCAAAAAGTATCTCTAAATTTTGTATAATGCACAAAATTTGTAATCTCTCTTTTGAAATTTTGACTTCAATTAGAAATTTATAGGGATGAAATAGCATAGAAATCTTAATTTTCAAAAAGAAATTCACAAAGGTTTAAGGTTATAAGTTTTGATCATAATGTGTGATCTATATCTAAAGTACAAGGTTCTACCTCAAGATTTCAAGAAATATCCATAAAATCTTTATAAATAGTTTGGTTTAGCAAGACATCGATGTGTAGGGCATTTACATCATTTACATACACGAGGTGTTGCAATTTTTGTCTCATCATCCATCCAATGTATGTCAAACACAGTACAAGGCCACAATGTATTGTCAAATGTTGAGTGTAACAATTGGGCCTCAAGGTCAATTTTAATAATGCACAAGAAACCAACATTAAAATAACTAAAACCAACTTTTGGCTTTTAAAACTATTATAAATTACTCATGCTAATTGCATCTTGTTTGGTAAGATGTGAGGTAACCTAACCTCAAACAAACATATTTTTATTAATTTTTCAAGAATCATATTGACCTATATGTTTTGGTTTTGTTTTCTTTTGTTTTGTTTGTATTTCCAACTTCTAATCTTTCAAGATCCAATAATTTGCATACAAATTTTGTAACGTAGTTGATGGCAATATACGGCTTATCGCTATGTATCGTTTCCTTGCCAATTGGCAACTTTTTGGTGGTATGTAATTAAGGCTCGGGTCATTGTCATTGTCATTGTTTCTTTTTTTAATTAAAGGGATTAATAAACCAAAGACTTAAGTGCTTTTTCCCTTTTCACTTAATAGGCTTAATGGGTTCAGTACTTAAGTACTTAATCTGAACATCAATACATGGATATTTCTTTTTCACTAAAAACATGGATCTAATCTATTAAAGACACTAACCCTTTACATATTTGCATTTCTTCTTTTCTCCCCCAACTCCTCTTACGTTAAAATCCATGTGCATTGTAAAAATTGTTTTTCGGGATGCAAGGGCAAAATGGTCATTTAGTCTACCTCAAACAGTTTGGTTTATTCAATCTTATTAAAGGAAACAGACCTTATGTATACAACACTTCACCCATTCGTCCACTTTACATGTACATGACTTAATGGGGACAAGACTTAATTCTTTCAACTTTATGCTTCTAAAAATATTTATGATGAATGTATGATGATGATGATGATGATACAGGACTTGTGAGATTTGTGGAGCAATTGCACAAAATGTTGGTGGGGATCAGACAAATGAGGCGAGCAATGCAACCGTTGAAACAGAGGCGGCTGAACGATCAGCCACCGGCCCCATGGTGGTGGCTACTGAGCCACGTAACTTCTGGCAGGGTCGCAGAATCATGAATATCTTGTTGGGTTGCATGGTTTTTGCATTTATCATTTCTTGGCTTTTTCACTTTAATGTATTGCCTTAATTCAGATTATTTTAATTAAAAAAAAAAAAAGTTAACAATTGATGTTTCTTAGTGTATGTGTGTATGGACTGAACGTTGGATTACAAAAGTGTATATACTTGTAAGTTGTAAGCCTGGAAGCATATGTTTCATGTTCTTTTTGAGTTCAATTATTCTTTATCATATATGTAAAAAATCATTACAAATATCACGTAACACAACAGATAGTTATTTAGCTGATTTATATCTCGTATGATGTAATTTAATATGTTAGTTAAAGTCTTTCTTGAACAATAGTAAAAATGGTCCAAGTTTTCTCAAATGCAATAAAGTAAAAAGGAAACAAAGAAACATGTATAGTTGTTCAAATTAAGTTCTTAACCCATTAAGATCATTAAATCAAAAATTAACAACCCCTTAATAAGCTCTTCTTTTACTGGCTTTCAGAGTCTTCATTGTTCTTAAAATCAGCAACTGCTTGCTCAAAAGTGCTCCTAACATGCTGACATATCATCATGAGATCTTGGCATGAATCTTTCAATACTTCCTTTGCTGGATCACCTGCAATAGTGGAATAACTGTGTAAATAGTGTTTCATGATTAAAGGGTTATAATTGTAATTATATGTACCTGTTGTCTGGACTCTTATGTTTACTTTAGCTTCTGAAGGATGAGGAATACTGTATCCACAGAGTGTAACTCTTGGACTAAAAACACAAGGCAATAACAACAGTAAATTACACTAAGGCCCTGTTTTTTTTTCCTTGAGTAATATCTGAATAATTGCAGGAATTGAGAGTATGTACTTACTCTTGGTTAAGAGTGAATCTAAGAGAGTTTGCTAGTGTATGATCTTCATCATTTAGTGTATGTGTTGAAGCTGATAGATCCTGATATGATCCGTGTTCCATTTTGGACTAAAAATCTGGAAAGGTATCAACAAAATTTAATAATTTATGCAAGTGAGAAACAACAATCATAAATATTTGAAACTTTTAACTTTTTTTCAAGTTTGATACATAGGATGTGAATGTCATTTTGAACTATAATGGGAAGTTGGAAACTAAGAAAAGATGGTTATCAGGTTAACCATGGGTATTTTCAGTATATACTATAAAATATATATCACAAATTACAAACGATTGTATTCCATTATGTATATGAAAGGATTTGAATACAGAACATTTAAGCTCATAAAAAAAATCATGTTCAGTTGTTCACCAATTAGTGAAAACAATCAAGGCAACTTTGGGAATTTCAATTCCATGGGGTAGAACTACGTTCATAACTTCAGTTAAAAGATGGAATCAAAAGAGCTTCAATGAAACACTAAACAACATCAATCCAGGAAAAAATCAGACAAAATTTGGGGCGAGTGTATGCAACGGGAAATGCATCGACTTGTTGAAACATTAAAAATAATCGCGTAGGTTAATGCAAAACACTCCAGTTGATATCGGAAACAGGCTTATCTGGAGATAACTTAGACAAAATTTGGAGTAGGTATGCAAAAATAATTAACGATTGATTGAGACATTATATCAAACAGATTGAAAGCATGGCCAAAGAAAAACGAACAACACAACATGTATAAGATCCTCCGATTGAGCATAGTAACGCGTATATGACTTTCTTCCTGAATTTTCTCGACTAATTGAGATTCTACAACGCCATTAAATTAGAACAAGAATAATAGAGAACCGGAATTACCTGAGATTTTCGAAAGTCTGCACGCTCTGATAAACCCTAAGTCGGAATTACTAGTAATGAATTAAATTTTTAAAAGTGTGTAAAGAGGAAGATACATAAAAAGATAGAAACTAGTCTCCACATACCATAAAGAAAAAGTAATTCTACTTCCGCCACTAAAGTTTCGTATTTCTAATTTCCATTATAAACTTTCTAACAATTTCAAATTGATCCTATTATTCCCACGACTTTCTACCAAAAATGACGTGAATAGGTGCATAGAGCCATAGATATACGAAATGGATTAGATATGTTAAATACACAAAACAAATCATATAGGATCCTTTTCGCACAAATATATATATATATATATATATATATATATATATATATATATATATATATATATATATATATATATATATATATATATATATATATATATATATATATAGAAAATCTATTTTAGAAAAGATACTATTCAAAAGCAAAACAAATATAAAAATAAATGATATAATTCAAGCGTGATTCAAACACAAACAGTTTGGATTCGAACATGCTCATATCTTTATTTTTACTTTTGTTTTGGTTTTGATTTGGTTTTGATAGAATTTATTCTAGAAGAAATAAATATCATCATACCTTTTGTTTTTATTTATATTTTCACTTCTATAAAACATTGATATATAATCCATTAATTCTCTTTTTTTAATTAACTTTCTTGATTTTCACATTTGGTTTAATTTAACGTGCAAGAAGATTAATAGTAACAAAAAAGATGAGGATATTTGATTTTTTTTCCAATTTATATTATACCATATCCTAATTTTTTATCAAATCAATTTTTAAAAGTTATATATTTAACCCTTAATATTTTATAAATTTGCTTTTGTCTTTTTCTATTAATTTAATTTGCTTTGAAGTTTTTTCTTTGTATATATTTAGTCTTTCAGTTTTATTAATTTTTACTTTTAAATTTTATCGTCGCAATTCACTCGTTAAATTTACTTTGCCAAATTCTTTTTCTTCCAAAAACATTTGCGAAACAAAATGCCCCCTAAACGTTTTGTAAATTTGCTCTAATATATTTATATTTTCTCTTATTTCTCCAACATAGCATTCATTTTCTCAAATATTTTAAACAATAGTTAATAGGAAAAGAAAACCAAGTAGAGTCTAACAACATACTTCACACAGAAGATAACACCTACTATTCCGTAAAGAAATTATTCAAGACTTATTGATTAGATAAATACCACCTACCAAAATATTAAGCTAACAAAAATACCATATCATATGTTATCACATTACTTATACACAAGTAAATGCAACACTTTGTGAGCCATTGTTATCTTAAATTCTTAATACACATCAAACCACCTACACTATTTAACTACATTATAACAAACACAATAACCCCATTCTAAACCCTTCCAACAGGCGAAAGAGGTGGAAATGATGCAAAACTTAATGGATTCAGATCATCTTCTACTTGTTTAGCAACGTATGTTCTTGATTCTGTATCCTGAGTTGATTTTCTGCACTCCACAACCGATATACAGATAGAAAATGCTTGTAAAACAGAAAGGGATGAATTGTATTCAACCGAATATATCCCTTCCTTTAATGGACAAAGACTGAAGAAGCTTCTCTCATTTACATTATCTCCCTGTGAAAAATATGAGATAAAAAAAAATATGAACACATTAGCATCAAGAAACGAAGGTGGTGTTGATAAAATTTACCTGAAAGAAAAGCTCGAATTGACCACTTGTTGCATTTGATCTTCTCCTAGATTCCACTTCATTTGTGAGTGTTCTTAATCTGCAGCCCAAATCCCAACCACCACAGTCACATGCACCACCAGTGATCCACCGCTCAATTAGCGGTGTAGGCCTTCCTTTACTTGAAACACCATGATTGCCGCCAGGTAGCACCACCGTTGTGTTAAATCCTTCTGATTTCTCTTCTTTATCACCAACCTTTGAAAACTTCACAACAATGGCTGCCAGCTCATCGCGTGGCTGGACATTTGATATTTGACCATTTGGTTGACTTTTGTCCACAGGAAACAAAACAAACTCCCGAGTGTTTGAATTTGAATTAGAAACCACACGATTTGAAACCTTCATTCGAGCTATTACATTAGGGACATAATCTTTGTCTTTTTTGCTCTGAGATAACCAACTTCCATTCTTTTTCTTGACTTCATCAATGGTGAAGAATGTATAAATCCAAGTGTTGTTATTTTTACTTAAATCCCTAACTGTTGCTGCAAGGGCGTTGCTGTTTTCAACTGCAAATGTGAACATAGGACGCCCATTCTTGATAGCTGTTTGAAAAAGAGCTTGCTTTGTATCAGTTATAGCTTCGCGACAGTTTCCCGACACTTTCGCGACAGTTTCCCGATGAGTGTTGGTTGCTTTTGATGGAAATAAGGGCTCTAATAACCTTCTTAAAGGACTTGAAGAAGATCGATTTGAGACACATGTATTACCTGTTGTTGATTTTTGAGAAATTGGTGACTTAGAGCTCATTGTGAAGCTAAATCGACGAAGTGGAGACATGCTTCTTTGTTTCCTAGAATCAAGATTTGAAATCTTGGAAGAAAAAGATGATCTTTTTTCTTCAAGAACATGACTTCTTGAAGTACTACTTTGATTTCTTGAAGATTCAGGTTCCATTTGTAAAGTCTTGCTGACAACTGAATCTTGTGGTTCATTTCCCTCTTCATTTTTTATTTTCATTTTTCCCTTCAAAGATGACAAATTTGTTTGACGATTTCCCATATTCATGGATGATTTAGATTCTGGAATCTTGGGTGGACAAGAATTGTATGTTTTGTAATCTTTTCGCTTGGTTTCTGACGTTTTCTTTTCAGAATCTTTAAAATCTTGAAGCTTTTCAAGATTCCCAGAATTTGATATGTTGAAATGAGATTGTAAGGTTACACGTGGAGCAGGAGAACACCTTTGACCTATGGTTGATTGGGTAGATGATGAAGCATCAGATGAAAATAAAGAAGAAGATACACTACTAGAGGTTGAACATTTGCTACTTTTAATTATCCCCTGTTTAAGATTCTGATATTGCCATTTTTCTAATCTCCCATAATCCATGACTCCAAAACTTAAAGCTCTATCTGGGGTAGCTTTACCTGACTCAAGGTAACTTGGTAAACTTGATATGTGTCTCACTATTTCATCTTTTGTTCTAAAAGATTGCTTTTGGGTATGAATTGAAGGTGATAATACCAAATTTGATCGGGTCTTCATGGCTTCAGAATGATAGTTGTCATAAGAAAGACGACGTTTTTCCAATTCAAATCTGTTTCTCAATGTTGTGTCATGACTTTTTCGAGCTGAAATTGGGTCACCCATTTTCTGTGTTAATGTCCACAAAACTTCAAATGGAAGTCAAATCATTTCTACCATGTCAAAGTCAAACTTTCTGCACCAAGTAAAAGATGACAATAAACAAGTTAAACTAGTCGACATTTTCATGATCATTAGCTTTTCTGATGTATTGCTTATGAACTAAGAATAAGGTGATAAAAATATTTTGTACAAGTGAAACAAGATTTACTAAAGTGTATCCATTGGTTGTTCTAGATCTCCAAATTGCATAAAAGAAGCATAGAAACCATTTCTTGAATATATGGACAAGAAAAGAACTGGAAGTGTGAATTTGTGGTCCCAGTTTATATACTACGTTGAAGACAAGGCAATAAAAGTTGCAGAATGTCACATGAAACACATAAACAAGATTCCCTCATGAGTAAAATAAGGGTGATAAACAGATCAAAATATTTTGAATATATTAACCCTGATTGGGCCAGAAAAAAAGGAAACACTACATGATGAAAGATTAAAAAAAATAACCTAAAGCACATTCTCTCTTTGTTTTTTTTTTTTTGTTCTATTGTTTGCTTTCCCTTTTGTAATGATTAAAAACTGCTGTCTCTCTATCTCATACACAAAAATAGTTAAATAGACCTAGATTCAAGATGTGATTCAGAGGCAAGACGACGACCCATAAAAAGTGTTACTATAGCAATGATAAAAAGAAAAAGGGGGAAAATAAAAAATTGAGAAAATGGTAAACTTTTTTCTTTGCAAAACATGTACTCTCATACACTACTACTTTCTAATGCTATTGATTAACAGAAAAAAGATCCTCAACTTGTGTTGATTTGGCGACTACAGGTTAAAATGTGGAAAATTTCTTTTTGCCTCGAATCATATATTCAAGATTTCTCTAGATGCAATCAGAGACCCAGCAAGTAAATCACTTCCGAGTAGCTAGAGTGAACAAGAATCATTCATTCATTCATAAAATCAAAAAGCTTCTACGCTCTAAAGAGATTGATTACTCAGTGGGGCAATTTGTCGAACACTTACCCGACGTAAGTTGGAAACAGCAATGGATTCTTCCAATACGAAGAAAATGTGTCTGTCGGGGAAGCACGCACCACAACACAAAGCTTGACACAGCAACTGAAGAAAACGGAGTCAGAAAAATCAAAGAACGCGGATAAAGATTTGACTTTTTGTTGTTCTTTCTTCCAGAACCCAACGGTCCAAAGAAAGAATTTACAGTGAAAAGTAGTGTGGTTGTGTGTGAAAGGTGGAGAGAGTAATTTATGGGGGGGTGAAAGTTGTTGGGTCACTTGTTTTCTGCAACATGTCAGATGACCGAATTAGTAGAGAGAGGTGGGGAGACAAGACGCGTTCGATTGGACGGCTGAAGCTGATTAAATATGGGTATTATCCGGGCTTATTATTTTCGATTAAAAATGAAACCTTAATTAATAATTAATTACCTTTTCTAGTTTTAGGGGTCTACGAGCTGCACAATGGGCCTAGGCCTTCGGGCAAAGTCAGACCCAGCCTGGTCTAAAGCAGCTGTCAATGGGCTAAGGTTATGTATGATTTACATTTTTTTGTGTCCAATAAGAGTTATCTTTTATTTGGTCTGATAATAGCGTATGATATAGCAACACTTTTTAGCATTTTATCGGGTTCTAAAGCCTCTTACCCAATCCATAAAAAAATGTTGATCAAGTAATTGAACAATCGTTTTCTTTTCTAACTTTGAGAAAAAAAACTCAAGCCTCCTTCAACATCTCTCTCTGAGCGGTTGAAGCGGACAGACCGCATCGAAGATATATTTAGATATATACACGGTTACGGTTATCGCTTGTCATTGCTCAAAGAATATCACATCCGGCAACAACCGTCTTCCACCACCCTCTGGCAGCTCCTCTTCCACCTCGTCCACGTCGACTCCAACCTCTGCAACTCCAGTAAGTTGTTGCTTCTTTTTTCTGCAATTGAAATTTTTGTTTCATTTATGAAAACAGAAAAATTGTTTGAGCCTCCTAAACAAGGTTACATATTTGTGTGAGCAAGACATCAAGCCACTAGCGATAATGTATCACAAAGGTGAATTTGGTTATGATGTTTTCCGTAAAATTGTGTTTAGTTTCTTATCAAACAGTTATAATTGATGTTTGGGATGATGCGAGAAGTGATTGAGAAGAATAACTCCAAGTATCTGATGCTTGATTACACTTTACAGCAACTTAAAAGAAACTACGCTTTGCTTTTCAAAGAACCAATAAGGAACAAGCATTAAGAATGAACTTGAAACATAATATTGTAACACCTCGATTTTTAAATATTACATTTTAACCCTTGAAGTGGAATTTGTTTGCAAAAGGGTCCCATGTGGCATTTTATATAAGGGGTGTGCCTGCTTAAGTACGATAGACGTACTCCGGCTAGGCCAAACCCTAATTATTTAGGGTTTGAGCACTATATATTCATCTTTATGGCTCAAGACCCCTTCCTTTCCTCAACCTCCATTTGAAAATTGTTCCTTAGCCAACCCTAATCCTCTCAAGTGCATTTTTGAGCTTTGGTGTTCTTAAAGGAATAAGTTGGAAGAGAAGATCGTCCTTGAAGAGTGGAAAACTTTGGATCTAGGGTTATACCATCTTTTGTCACCCTTCGGAGGTATAAAGTTCTGAACTTGATATTGATTTCATTTAGATCTTGTTAGCCTTAGATTTGTGGTTATTTTGGTCCCATGAGCTTGGTATTATGAATATATGGTACTCTAATCCTTTTGAGTTGTCCTTTCAAACGTTTAGGACTGTCTTGAAGCATAAAAATGGGATCGTGAATGTGATATTTAGCCCATACATGTATTGAGGGTCTTATTGGGTTAAGAACAGAGGGTTTTGGTCATTAAGCATCTTTTAGACATGCAAAGCCCTAAAGTTTAGGACATCATTTTGGGCTTAGATCTGAGTTTTAGGAGGAAGAGCTTAATGGAATAAGCTCTTAATGGCATTTCGTGAGAAATGGATTTCGGTCGTATGGTTCGATGATCAGATTTTTGAGCTGCTGCTTAGGAGTTATGATAGATTGCTTAGGAATATCTAGAAACATAGTTTTCATATGTATTTGCATTGTAAGGACAAGTTTTCTGCACATTATCAATAAAGTGAATTTTGGTTTTATCTTATTTGCTTTATAATTACTTGCAATGGTATTTATGAAAATTGGTGTTTATATTTTTATTATTAGCAATGTGAAAATGGATTTGATTCTTAGTTATATCGCTTGTAGTAGTGTCAAAATTTTATCAAGTGTGGAAGGATTTTCATCACCCAAGTTCCAATTTGACAAAAACTTGGAATCATGCGATTTGAATTGTATGATGTATGAGAATCTTGATCCTTGGGAAATTGAGACTAATTCCTTATTCACATGTATATGTGAGTCAAGTGAAAGACTAAATGATCTGGTAGACATTAATGTAAACTGGTCAGATCCACCGTAAAGGACGATAAGTCTGTTCATCATGATTTAATGTTGGTTCAGTAAATATGGTTATACTTAAAAGATTAAGTATAACTTTGATACCTTGAAAAGATTTCAAAGTATAGCACAACGAATAAGAAGAATCCATTAGGCAGAAAAATAAAAGTTTCTCCAATCTAAAAGGAAATGAGAGTATTTTAGTATCATGTTTTATGATCATCTTAATAATTAAGAAACCATGTCACAATTGATTCTCTAAGGACACCTTAGTGTATTTATATGACTAAGAAGAGGAATCAGACATTGTTGAAATGGTTAAATCAAGAAGATAAGTCATACTTCGTTTCAAAATCAAGTTTAAGAATCATACTCTAGTTACTCCAAGTTATACCTTGAGTAATATGTTCTAAGTAGGTTTATAACACCTCATGAAATATGGTGTAGAAATGTTTTCTTGCTCTAGCACATTCGAAATTGGTAGTTGTGATGTTTTGGTTAAAACAAAGACCAACTAAGACCAATTATATGAAGTGTTTTCTTGATAAGAACCCACAGTAACTCTTAAATATTTGTTTGTCAAGGAATGTTCCTTGACAGAGAATCTTATATGTCAAGAAGTCAGTAAGAGTCTTATTGATCTTAAAAAGTTTTAGGAGATAATGAAAAATAAGCTTTTTAGTAATCACTAGCACACAACCTGAGGTTGATAACCTATCGTGTTGACACATTCTTGTTTTTGTGCCCATTCTAGTTGAGTTGGCAATGCATATAAGTTCTATGGTTTTCATTTGACTGCATAAGGCAAAGCACCTTGATTAGTGAAAGTATATTTATCTGTATGGGTGGGCTGCTCAATATCTTGGAAGCACTCGTAGACCCTTGTGCTATCGGATGGGAAGAACTTAAGATTAAGCAATTTCACTCCATATGAGTTTGAAATTTTCATAAACCTTGTCTTATGATAGTGGTTGGAAATGACGAATTCACATGGATAGGAACACATACACCACCCCACCCCAAAAATTTCATAGTTCCCCCGTCCCACCCCCGCCCCCGAAATGTACAACCTTCCTACCCCCACTTTGACATCCCCATTTTTACGGCCAGAAAAGACCGACTTTGTTTACACTTTATAAAAATCAGAGTACCTCTTTTAATAAAATGTTGCGGAATTTGTTCCTAGTAAAACATGATAAATACGTTATCAAAGCATTTCTAAAGAAAAATATTTTTTATTCATTTTAAAACGTTTGGGATGTCATCGTTAATACAAAAACATAAGCATAAACATAACTTACATTTATGATCACTAATTATTTATATCTCCTTAATCTCTCAGTGTAATGTGACTACATATCAACACCTGTGATATAAATAAACTGAGTGGGTCAGGTTGGGAAACCTGGTGAGTACATAGGGTTTTCAACCCACAATAATATAATTATTATGTTTAAACAATCAACCCAATTACCCATCCCCATTATCTTCTTTACTCTTAAGGATCTACCCTAAGAATCAACAATTCCTCGTTCATTTATTCCTAAGGATCA